GGGGGGGGGGCTTGTACGGCCTTGACACTATGCACTGATTTGTAACCCAGACCGGCTTATCAAAGTGCCGCGGCATGAGTGTGTGGCGAGGCAGCGGCGGGCGGACCCGCGCCACCCACACACGGAGTCCATGCGGTGCTTTGCCTGCCTGCCTCCCCCCTCCCCCCTCTGCTCCCTGCTATCCCTCCTCTCTCCTCTCCTGCCTCTCTCCCTCTCTCAGCGGATCCCAACGACGACACACACAGAGAGCACAGGCGCGCCAAGCAGACGACGCGGAGCTGAGCGGCCGGCCGGTGCGGCGTCCAGTTCGAGTCCTGCGCCAGCTCGCCGGTAAGCCTGCAACAAAAACAACATACACTCGACCAGGCCCCGTGGGCGAGCCTCCCACTCCCCCTCCCCCCTCGGCTCGCGTACCTTTGACCGGCTCCACCATTAAGGCGCGCTTTGCTGACACCTGCCCTGCTGCCCTGACCCGGGCGTTTCGGCGGCGGCACGGACGGCGCGCAGCGAGTCGTGCTGAGCTGAGCTGCCCGGCGGGGCGGCGCCGCGTAGCGGTACCTCCGCGTCGTCGTGCCCGCCGCCCGGCCCCGGCCGGTGCGCCCGGTAGTCGCCGTGGTACGGCCCGCCCGTGCGCAGCTCCTCCTCGCCCGCTCCGCTCTTGCACCGCATCGCACCCGCGCGCCGGCGGCCCGCCCAGCACCGAGTGCGTCGTGTTGTCGGACGGTTCATCGACTTATCACATCTCAGCCGCGCGGCTGCTGGGGTTGCGGCCCGTACCCCGCGGCCCCGGACCCGATCAGCTGACGAGCGCGATCCACGCCCCGGCGCTCTCCGAGCCCCGCCCCGCCGCGGCCGGCACGGTTCAAGCGAGTAAGTACTGATAAGGCGACCGGCTACTATCAGCGGCAGCGCGGCGTGTCCGTCGAAAATAAGGCGCGTCTGGCTAAGAAGAGGGGGGGACGACAAGACCACCGCGTGCGTGCATTCATACTACTCACAACCGCGCGAAGGCGTCGTGGAAGTACTACCACACACGCACACACAGCGTCAAAAACACACACGCAGTCGCTCAGCTGACGCTGCTGCGGTGGGGGAGACTCTTGAGGTAGGTCGGGGCGCGGTGAAGCGCGGTGCGAGCGGCGGACGGCCTCCTCTCCAGTAGTGTGTCCAGCGACCTGGACCGCGCGCCGGCAAAGCCCCCCGAGCGGCGCAGCAGCAGAGTTTGGTTTTGCCCGGCAGAGAGGAATATGATGATGTAACGACCCCACCTTTCTCCGCCCACTCCGCAGGACATGGCGACGGTGAAGAGACTGGCCATCGGGCTGGCGGGGTCGCTGGCCGCGAGCCTGTGGCTGGGCCAGTCCCCGCTGCTGCTGCCCTTGCTGGCCACGCTGGCCGCCCTGGCGCCGGCCGCCCCCCAGCTCCTGCGCAGGGTGTGGGCCGTGCTGCGGACGCTGCCCCGCGACATGCAGTGAGTATATATTCCTCTTGTAAACCTGCGCACAGCGGATTCGGATGCGCCGGTCGTTAGCGTTGTCCTTGTCAGTCATTTTTGTGCACTGAATATATTCGGCGAAACTCTGGGAGTGTGATGAGTTTATAACAACAGGTTTATTTGTCGTTTGATGAGTTTATAACAACAGCTTTATTGAAGTAATATCTCACACGCCGCTTTTGACATTCCTTTCAAAATCCCGCATTTGATGAGTGTTGTGTTTGGTGCGAAAAATAGTCGACTTCTCCTCGCGGTTCACTGATGGACCCTTTTCGTGTGTAGGGATACAGTTCAGGACTTGCGATGAAGTATCAGACCGCGTTCTCTGGACGTTCCCGGAAACGGCCCCTGTGTGTCACAAAGCAGTGTCTACCGCAAGAGGGAAGTGAATCTCGTCGAACTAAACTAAACTTCGACTGTTTTTAATATTTATTATTTGTGCCTCAATAAAACTGGTGCGATTCTATCAAAGTGCGATCACTTTTTAAAAAATATTTGGATCACCCCAGCCTTCATACTCTGCTAAGAACATGCGCAGGGCATAGCCTAACAGTGACGCTCTCTCGTTCAGCTTCCTCTTCAGGGCGATCAAAACGTACAAGGAGATCAAGCGCATCGAGCGGAAGAACGCGTGCCTCGCCGACATCTTCGACGAGCAGGTGCTCGCCCGCCCGGACAAGGTTCTCATCAAGCACAATGGCAAGGAGTGGACCTTCCGGCAGGTAAGTTGAGTAGTCGTCATACATCTGGAGGTGTACTTCACGGATAATATTATATACACCAGCGCTGGTCAAAAGTCAGAAAATATCAAAGAAAACCCAATCTAGAAAAATCAGAAACAATCAGAAAATATGTAGAAAAAATCTGGGAAAATCGGTTTACGCTTGAATTTGTAGTGAAGTACCCCTTGCCCATACACGGTCTGTGCTCTCATCCGCCGCCATTGTCCTGCCACAGGTGTCGGACTACAGTAAGCGGGTGGCGAACGCCTTCCAGCGCCGGGGCTACGTGAAGGGCGACGTGGTGGCCGTGTTCATGAACAACTGTCCCGAGTACGTGGCGCTGTGGCTCGGGCTCTCCCGGCTGGGCGTCGTGGCGGCGCTCATCAACCACAACCAGCGCAGCAAGGCGCTCGTGCACAGCCTGACGATCGCCAAGAGCCGTGCCGTCGTATTCGGCGCGGAACTGGCCGACGGTGAGCAGCGCGGGGTCACTTCACATTCGTCACTATGACCCCGCTCACTTCCGGGTCACTAACAACAGTGACAGTGGACTGCCGGTCAGATCGGAAAAGTGGTGACCATTAGTAACTTCGTATTTAACTTTGGTGGTGCGGGCCCTGTTCTCGCAAAAACGCGCGTCCGTGGTCCCATAGGCGAGGGAGTGGGCCCGTGCTCGAGGCGAGCGAGTTGGCCCGTGTTCCCATAGTCAGGCGAGCGGGCCCTGGCCGCCGCCCAGAGGCGGGCGCCTGACGTCCTGAAGATAGGCACGCCCGCCAGTCACTCATGCGCAGCGGGAACGCCTACTTCTCACCCATTTATGCAACCAATTGGGGGGTTTGTTTTGTTAAAACGCTTGAAATTAATTGAACCGTGATTGCAGCCGCCCTGGAGGTCAAGGATCAGCTGGGTGAAACTGAGCTCTTCCAGCTGCACGTCGCCGAGGAGGTGGCCGCGGCTCTGCCGCCCTCCGTCGAGGACCTGCGCGCCATCCTGGACGCGTCCCCCGTCAGCGACCCGACGGCCCCGCGGCCGGGCTACAAGGACGCCCTGCTCTACATCTACACCTCCGGCACCACGGGGCTGCCCAAGGCCGCCAAGATCGTCCACTCGCGGTACATCGCGGCCGGCAAGGGCATCCCCATGCTGACGGGCATGGTCCCCGAGGACGTGGTGTACGCGCCGCTGCCGCTGTACCACTCGGCGGGCGGCATGTGCGCCATGGGCTACGGCCTGGCCTTCGGCATGACCGTCGTGCTCCGCACCAAGTTCTCGGCGTCCGCCTTCATCCCGGACTGCGTGCAGCATGAGTGCACGGTGGTGCAGTACATCGGCGAGGTGTGCCGCTACGTGCTGACGACGCCCGTCAAGGACTCGGACACCCAGCACCGCATCCGCCTCATGATCGGCAACGGCATGCGACCCGCCGTCTGGCAGCGCTTCGTGGACCGCTTCAGGGTGCCGCACGTCGTGGAGCTGTACGGCTCGACCGAGGGCAACGTCACGTTCTGTGAGTTGAAGCATGAAAAGTAATTCTCTGAACATGTTGAGTGTGGGGCATTTTATTGTTCCTAAACCCAGCAAATGGCATCTTTGAAACAAGGCGTAATGCCTTGCATAAAGGCTATTTTTACCTCTAAAAATTCAAGGAAAGTGTTCTTAGCATAAGGAAAAGATCGTTGAAAGAAAAGTAAAAAACTGTCGTTAGATTAACGATAATTCCTTGAAAACAATAGTAACGGCTTAAAGCAGAATTAAGAATTTCATTGTATTTTTTTTTGAGATGGGCTCACTTG